TGCATTTAATTTGACAATTAGAAAATTTAAAAGTGAAATGTTTTGATTATAACATAATGCATTGGTTTCAACCTAAAGTTTTAGAGGACACAAAAAAGTCCATAATAAACTTTTCCCTTGTTTTCTATGGAAAAGTTCTTCCAAGGGGAGTGGAGTTGTAAAGTCTAAAAATATTAAAAAGATAATTGGTTGGCAAAAGCATAAATTAAATAAATAAACACATAAAGATATAAATTTAAAAAAATAAAAAAACAGACGATAAAATTAGAACACAAAAAGAAAGTTGTTGATTATTTTTAAGATTAGTTTTATTGTGGAATTTGAGTTTCCGTATATCCCGTTACGGGGTTTTCTAGTTGTTTATAATCTTTTCACTATCCCGTTACGGGTACTGTATATTTGTTACTGTTTGTGTTGTTTGTTAATAAAAGTTTTTTATAATAAAAAAACTGAACAGTTCTTGATATAGCTTATGATACGTTACAACGTCAACAACAACAATTAAAATCAGGATGCATAGTATTTTTGAAAAATGCCTAAAGGTGCTTATTTTTGCTTTTTAAAGAGGTGCCTTAAGTCCTAAGAGGTGCTTTTTTTCATTGGATGTATGTGAAAGATGGTTAACTTCTCTGAAATGTGATTTTTTCTTTACTTTGACATGTGTTGCCATGAAAAACGCAGAACGCTTGGTTTATCACAATGTTCTGTTCAATCTTTTCACTATTCATTCAACCTTAACCCATTTGGTCATGCGGTTCTCTTTATCGTGCAAAAAGGTTTCTGAAACCATTGGTAAGCTGTTTATCCTGGATATAGCTCAAAACATGTGTTAAAGTAAATTGACTCAGCTCAAGAAGTGTATTTTAAAAAAATAGATATAGCTCAAAATATGTATTTAAGAAAATGAACTCACAACAAAAGGCACCTTTTCAATATTCAAACCAAATTTAACCTAGTCCAGGAATTTTGCTTACTTTTTTGATATCCTTGCATGATCTTTACAGAGCTAAGTCCCAGACTTAGAGGTTTGACGTGTCACTTTTCAGGAGACCTCTTTGTTTTCAGATCTTTAAACAATAAAGTGGTATTTAAAAACCAAAACTCCAACAACAGATATTTTCTTTCACTGTTATAAATTTATAGGACCTGTGCAACACTATGAAAAGAACTATTGATTTTTAAGTTATTTTAAAAAAGACTAAGTTAAAATATGTTAAGCAATGTATGCAAATGGATAATATCACATTTTGAATATATTTGGAAATATTAGTTAATTCTTTTAAAAAAGAAAAATACTTTGAAGAGAATTTTAAAAAATAGACTCAGATGTTCTGTCCATTTTCTTATATAGCCACAGCGGAGGGTCCCATTACGGGAATTGTCAAGACTTCAACATGTTCATAAAAAGATTTTTCTAGATAATAGAACTTTAAGTCAAACATAAACATGTATTATTCAATAAAAAAATAGCATATGGACCATAATTAACCTCAGTTTCATACAACAAAGTTTTCTCATAGTATAAAAAATGTTTATTAAAAAGAGCAGTTAATAATTAGAACTTAATCTTTCACAAATACATGGGTATTTTTCTCTTCCTGTTTTACCCATTTGATGTGAAGAATTAGCAGCATAAATAATAAGTTTAAAATGAGTCTCATATATTAAAAGAAATCAATGGGATTTAGTAAAAATAGAAAGAAAAAATAGTATTTAGAAAAAATAGTTTAAAACAAGGAACAGAAATGTGTAGATTTTTTAATGTAAACAATTATAATTTGAAGGGAAACAAAGCTTGTCTGCTGATGTTCTTTTCACTCTTAATATTCAGCTTCATTAATATTCATAGTTTGTTCTTCTTACCAAGCATTGTTTTTCTTTAACTGCTCTGTTTCTACATTGTTTTTCTTAACTGCCAATGACTTAATTAGTGTGTTTATTGAAACAGAATAAATGCTAAGTTATCTTAAAAGCAGCTAGAAGAAATAAATTTTTTTTTATATACAGTACAGAACCCATTATCCGGAAAACCAAAAAAGGGTAACGAAATTCGATAAATTTTCCCGCCATTTTTTTTTTTTTTTAAAGTTTTTTTCTGCATAAGATTTCAAGATTTTTCTTTCTTTTTTGAAAGATGTTTACCTTACCGTCATTTTGGAAACAATCATTAGTGTATTACTTCATCGTTTTTTCTTCTTTTTAAGATTATTTCTAAATATATATTTTTTNTTTTTTAGTTGGGTTTAACAATAAAAAAACGGCTTTTTGTAGCGATTCAGAAAACCGGAAAAATCAGTTATCCGGAATAACGATGGTCCCGGTCGTTCCGGATAATCGGTTCCCTACTGTACCTTCTATTTTTTTTCCTTAACAAACCTCAGGTGTAAAAGAAAATTATAAAAAAGAAACGGGATTTATTTTGATTGTTGAAATCTGTCTGGAAAATATACACTCCTGTGAATGACTGTCTGGATATGGGACTATGTATTATTGTATGTCCATTTTGTGGTATTTCTGGAATAAATAGCCCATTGCCAAATATTGTTTTTTTTTTTTTTTAAATATGTATTTATTTATTACCAAGCCAACCTTACAGTCGAAAGTTTAAATTTGTGCATTATTTTATTTAAAAAAATATTGTTTGGGTTTTATGCATAACACAAAAAAATTAACTCCGCTTGGGCTTAAAATTTGGAACCAAAAGAACTACATTTGCATTGGATGATATAGCAATTATTCAGCTGAAGTCGATCATTAATGAAAGATTTTTTTTTTGTGCGTGCTGCATTGTGTTTTTACTCTCTTTTGAATATCTCTTTACTTGTAATTTTTTTATCAGTGTTTAATTTTTTAATGTTATTATTTTTTTAGGTACTTATATACCATCTACTCCTAATATTTTATTAGAAAGGTATTTAACTTCACAACCTAATTCAAAAGGTAGGAATTTCATACATTTTTGAAATTTTTTCTTTAAAAGATATTTGTTTTGCTATATTTTTATTTTATCGCTTTAGATATACCTTCCATTACTGCCTTTGAAAAAAATGGCCTAAAAATAGTATTTGAATTTGAAAAGCCTCCTGATAATCCCCAAATGATTGTTATAAATCTGGTCGCCTCAAACTCTTCGTTAGCTCCAATTAATGACTTCCTATTCCAGGCTGCAGTACCTAAGGTATTTCCATTATCTTTTATTTCATAATTTCAGTGGTCATATGCTCTTAAAAGTAAATTAGTACACTGTATGTTTCTAATTTACATTTGATTTTATGAAATCTATTTTATATTTGCTTAAGTTATATTTATTTTCATCACTTAATTATATAAATGACTAGTATAAATACTCAAATTTTTAAAATTTTTATAATATTGCTTCTGCAAAATTTTAAATTTAATTTGGCAAAATATTTGATTATCAATTAACCCTGTGGCAGAATAGAGGCGACATTGTTACAGAACGTTAGAGTTCTTAGAGAAATATTTTTCTTTTAGGAAGCAAAAAAGTTTGATTCTCTTATATGCGGAATCTTCTGAAGAATTTTTTCTTTTACAGAATTTTTAGAGTTTTTTTTCTCTTTTCTGCAGAACTATTTTCAAAAGATACTTTTCTATGCTATGCATGTTGGAAGGGTAAGAAATGATTGTGATTTTTTTGAAAAATAAATGTCCAAAAAAATTCATGATGACTGGCTTTAACTAGAATTTCAGATTTATATTATAAAAAACATTTACAAAATCATTAAAATTTAAAAAATAGTTCACTCTAGAAATGATTTTCATAGAACATTTTATTACAAATTTAGATTTGTAGCAAAAAAATGAATAAATCATTGTGATGTGTCAGTCCTTCCTTTTTTCATTATTTGGTTGAAATAAAACTATTCAATATTTTTAATATGACATTAACACACCAAAAGTTTAAGCCGCACAGTCTTCTCTTTATCACTCATAGCTCAGGCCAATTTCTTTGAAAATATATGTATCATTTGGATGATTTTTTTTTTTTTTGAGATTCTTGCTACCAATTTTCATTTGACTTTTTTTAAATTCTAATGGCTTTCATTGCTCAGTTATTACTATTGATGTTTTCATGATTATTTTTAAAAAATGGGAATATTATTATGACGCACACATTTGATAAATTTACCTCTGCGTCGATTACACCATTTTTTGAATTTTCGGTAGTTTTTATACTGATTTTCTCATAGTTTCTCTCGTTTGATATTATTTAGACACACGAAATTCATATCCTGCATTTAAATATCTTATCACTTTTTGACATGCTCAATTTACAGGGTTCCCACGGTCCTTAAAAGTCCTTAAAAACTGCTTAATTTTTATTTTGGAATATAAGAGCCCTTAAAAGTACTTAATTTTTGCACAAGGTTTTTAAAAGTCCTTAATTTTTCAGCATCCCTAGAGTTGATCGGAACAATTTTTCAGTTCAATTTTTTAAAACAAAATACCATTCTTTTATCACCTAGAATTAGACCATGCATAAAGAGCATGCATCATTTTAGGGAGACAAAAATGAATGTGTTTGAGGGGAAGGAAGCATGTCCTTTTATTAATATATTGGTTCTTTCATTATGCTTTTTTAGGGGAGGGGGAGCAGTATCTAAGTAGACGATCCACACTAACCTTCAAATTTGACAGAATTCAAGAAATTCAGTTCTACCGGTCATCTGCTTATAGGAATTAAGTAAAACCCTCAGAAATGAAGTATCAGAAATATTTTTTGAACTAGAATCTATAAAGAAAACTATCTCCTAAAATCTTGAAGAATTTAGTTAATTTGTATAATGCTTCAATAAGTAACTAAATTTATTGAAGGCAGTGACATTTTTGTAAAATTCATGATTGTACTAAAAATTAAACAGATCTGTAATAAACAGGGTTTGAAAAATCTCACCCCACTTATGTTTTTCATCAAAAACCTGGGTTTTTGATGAAAACCTCAAATTTTTTTAAAAATACTTTTCCTGTGTATTAAATAAGAATGCATGATTTACTTCTAACACGGAAGTTAAATATTTGTTAACTATTTATAATTTGTTTAGTTGCAACATTTTATTAATGGAAAAGAAAGATTTTTTTTAGCGTAACTGAATATTTAGCAAGATTGGCCCACAAATGAATGTGTGATGCAGGTCTAGTAGCGAAATATAAAAACTTGTTGTAATAAATTTTTCAATGTTTTTGCCAAATTTCTTTATTTACTCTTTTTTTTTTAATATGCATGAAAAATTGCAAATCTTAATTTCTGGACATAATTTTACTATTCAATTTCAATGAAATCATTAAAAATTCAGTATGGATTAGTTTCATAGATGATGTTAACCTGTAACGATCCCAAATGTTTTTAAAGAAAAACCCAACCCTGGTTTGCAAAAATTACCTGGTACTTCTTTGGCGAGCTCTGTTACATCAGTGCTTACATTATGATAAAATTGTTTTTTTTTTTATTTATTGATTTTTTTTAAGAAATGTAAATAATTGGCACTGTCACTGGTAGTATATTATATACGTGTGTGTGTGTATTCGATGATTAACAATCATTCTATTTTTAAACTCCTTAATTTTTCAAAGAAGTCCTTAATTGTTTCACAAAAAGGTCCTTAAAAGTGCTTAATTTTTGCTTTGTTAAAAGAGTGGGAACCCACTCTTATGGTGATTGCATATTTTATATACATTGACATATTTTATATATACCACCTTGATCAAAAAGTTCCCAGAATTTATTCAGAAAATTAAAAATACAAGTTTATTCATCTAAATCTATATTGTCCCCTTCAAAGTAATCCCCATCGACTGCAACACACTTATGCCAGCTCTTGATCCAATCCTCGAAAAAAAAAATTATTCGATTTTCGGTATGTCCATCAGTGCTTACTGCGACTTTTACTTTGATGAACGCCATTACCATTTGATGAATGCCATTCACTTGCCTGATGTCTGGATTGCGTGTCGTACTCATAAACTCACGTCTCGTCTCCAGTAATGATCCTTTTGATGAATGTGGGATCGGATTCAGCCTCACAAATTGCGTCTTTTGTGACGTCAACACGGTCTCTTTTTTGCATGAAATTGAGGTCTTTTGGCACCATCTTTGCTGCTACACGACGGAAACCCAAATCATTAACCAAAATGTCTTGGACGGATCCATAGGCAATGTTCAGGCCCTCCGCTATCTCTCTGATGGTCAATTTGCAGTTATTGACCAACATTTCTTTTACTTTATCAATGTTTTTGTCTGTTTTCGATGTCGATGGTCTGCCACTGCATTCATTATCTTCAATTGACTCAACCACTTTTGAACCTCTCGTGCCACTGGTAAATGTCCATTTTCTTTAGAGAATCGTTGCCGAAACACTTTTCCAACTTTCGCGCACCATTGAATCCATTTTTATGCTAAATTTAATGCAAGTTCGTTATTGCAAATTTAAATCCATTTCTAAAATTGTACAAAAATTGCCAACGCACACAGAGATAGATGTACTCTTGGCTACGTAACTTTTGCAAATGTCAAGCTATGACGCTAAGATTTACAGGGAATATCAACAACAGATGTACCAACTTAACAAAAAAAAAAAACAGAACTCAAATCGGAACGATGGTAGCACCACCCGGGGGTTATTCCGGGAACTTTTTGATCAAGGTGGTATTACCGCTATATTTTATATAATATGAGAAATTTGAATCGCACATTAGAGTATTTGCTTTTTAACGCAGTGATCCTTTTTTGCTTTTCTCAAAGTTCTTAGAATAAAAAATTTTAATGCAATATTATTTATTACAAATAAATTTTTATACAAACCACACATTTGATTTACCCCTTTTTGAAAAGTTTAATTTGTGTGATTTCGTTGTCGATCTTTTTTCGGTAGTTACTGCCACAAATTTCATCAAGTTTTAATTTTTTTTTTAATGTAATGGTGATTTACAAAATCTGAAAAAGGAACTAATCCGTTTTTTTTTCTCCGTCAAAACTGGAGAATACTGCTCATAATATTTTAATACATATTCTTTTATAAATAGATTTAACAAAAATTCTTCTTGCATTTACTACAAAAAAATTATGTACAGTTTTATTCTATACATGAGGACTTTTGTTACTTTAAATTAGTAACATATATTTATTACTATTAAAAATGGTTTTTCAGAAAGGTATTAGTGTTGGGGAGAATAGTCGCAGAAAGCTCGAAAAAATTCTGCCACAGTGTCACTTATGCCCATTGTTTAATACTCCTTTTGTACTAAATTAATTGTTTCAAAAACATTACTTAAATTATGAAATTAAAAGCTTATACAAAAATTTCAAACAGTTGATCAAGGGAATACTTTCTATCCATATGTTTTACTTTCAAGTGTGCTGTAAATAATAAACAAAAGTGTCCGAAAATTATTTTGTTAAAAATTACCCACTACTCTCTAATTTGTCACTTTCAAAAATAAACTAGTCCAGTTGAAGCTCTGTATTTCTCTCAATATTTAAACTTAAAAACAATAGAATGAATGAAAATTTTTCAAACACTATTACAAAAGTGATCTCCTTTATTTAATAATTAATAATTAAAAGCAATATAAAAAATACTACTGTAAAGGACGTATGACAGTATCTGACTGCTTTATACTCTTATGTGATCGCATACGGTGTGACTGAAATATCTGTTTAAGCCGAATTCAATTTATCTTTTATTTTTCTCATTGTGTTATAAATTATCAATCAAAATACAACTGAATCTTGATTCCTTGTTTCCGCATCTTTCATTTTACCATGTATATAGTCTTGGTTTAACAGTCTTTTCATAAACTAGTTTTAGAAACTAGTTATTCTGGCATCTATTGTTCAGAAGTTCTACCAACATTTTAAATAAAATTAAGGTATTTTCTCTTGAGAAGAAAAACAACTGATGATCAGATGGAAAAGAAAATGAGGATTCATTACAGTTTAGGGAAAATGCCTCAAGCAGCACTTATGATAATTATCATTAAATTATGTAAATGTTGATACTTGTGGTGTTGTCTGTTCAAGAAATGGTTGCAGAAGCTGAAGAAGTACTAAGTACTACTCATGAAGATGGCAAACCTCAACCAGTGCCAGCATTTAAGGAAGGCCTCAAAGCCTTAAGAAAAGCTAGGAACTTTTTGTTTTCAAATGAACAATTATCTATTACTATTTTTTTTTCTTCTCTACTATCAGATTTAAACATTTTACAGCCTTGATGAACCAGAAAAAATTTCATATAATGTCATATACTGCAACTGTAAAATATATTGAAATAGTATAACTAAAAAAAAATTTCAGTGACAAAACTCGTTAGAAAAATATATTAAACATGATTGTTTGAAAATTTTGCATCAAATTGTGCCTCTGTTTAATAATCTTAATTATGTGATAAAAATATTACACTGATTTTTTTTTTTTTTGTGTGTGTGTGAAGGATTATTGTGTCTTTATTTCATAGCAATTTGTAAGGATTAGAAACTTAATTTGTTATTAGACCAGTAGTTAAGGGATTCAATTCAGAAAAAATTTCTGCTTTTTTTAACTTCTTTAATCTTTTCGATTTTCTTTTTCTATTTCTTTCAATAGGAAAGAAATAGAAAAAAAAATGGTCCTATCTATGTCGAAACAGGTATCCTTGTTTTAAAGAAAAAGGAATAGGTCAAATATCTATTGAATAAAAAGGAGTTAGCAGGAAAATTGAAAAAAAGAATTTTGTTAAATCAACTTTTTTTATTAAGCAAAACCCCTCAAGCAAAATTGTTTTCTACGTTTGTCATTTTACATCTCATTTCATCATAAGCCAGTCACATGCATTTGACCCCAAGGTCAAGCACAGTAGATGCAAAGATGCCAACTGCTCCGGACACCCCAAAATAATTTAAAAAACGGTAAATAACTACAACTAAACTTTGCAAATATTTGACTAATTTTGCTTACTTCTTAAAAGGTTTAGCATAACTTCACTGTAACAAAGTTGCGAATTATAAGCCTTTGAATTATTTAGAGATAGTGGTGGATAAAAACCTAATAAATTGAATTTATTTAACCAAGAATCACAATTAATAAACTATCACTCGAAAATATTTATTCGCTGTCCATATCAAGTTGGCATCTCTAGATGTTTTTATGCATTGGATAATTAAGAAGAGCAAATGGTTTCTTTCCTAGCTCAGAGTTCTATCTGTAATGAATTTAACTTTGTCTTTTTAATTAAAAATCAAGAGAAGTTTTATGATATCTTAACAGCAGTGATATTAATGCAATTATTTATTTTATCAAAAATTTTATTACCTGTTATAAATCATCTATTTTGTACAAAAAATAATCTGTGACTGTTGAAGTTGTTTGAAAGACTGCTGATCTAAAAGAAGAGGCAAGGGTGCCACTCTTCCATCTGAGTAAAAATTTTTCGTATTATGAAAGAAAATGGTTTTTTTTTTTTCCTTAAAACTTCTAATTTTGTTCCTAGTTTTACTCCTAGTTTATTCCTAGTTTTTACTTAGTCTTTATTATCAAAATATAGGAAGTAACATCGTATTGCACTCTATTTTCAGACCATAGTGAATACTTATTGTAATTATTGTTTAATTAGTTGCTAAAATAGTCACTAAATTCAGTGGTCATTCACTAATTTATTTTATAGAATTTGTTTTGCTACACTACAAATCTTAGTCATTTTGGAGTTGCCTTTAAAAAAAATTCAAAGAAATCTGCCACATAAATGAAATTTTCAAATCTGTGGATTACACTTTTTTTTTTTAAAAAAAAAAAGCTGTGTGTTTTCCCATTTTAAAAATAGCTACACAGTAACTGTGAGTCACTTTGAATTCTCTTTGAAAGAGGAAAACTCCTCAGATTCTTTTTCTAGGTGGTCGTGATCTGTAATCAAAACTTAGATGAAAAATATTGGTGAAATTGTAATGTTATGTGGAAGGCCAGATTTAGTCCCATTTGCTCATACTAAAAAGGTGCAGTCACAATCTGAAAAGTTCTTTTTGGTAGATACAACAAACTTATTAATCATATTTATTTTGTTTCAGAATTCCATTCTATTTTTACATCAAGTTCTTATTTTCTTAGGTAGTTTATTTTTTAAAACTTGTAGTATTTGCAAGATTTTGTAGGCCGCTCTTAACATGCCCTCTTCTTTTTCACTCATAAATTATAATTTGAAATGCATGTTCATGAATAATTTTTATATGAAAATTACCATTTCAGATGCCAACGCTTACCTTTCCAGATGGTGAAAACATTATTAATTTATATTGAGTCATTATCAAAGCAATTAAAACAAAACAAAAAAGTCCTTTTCTGAATCGGGCTTGTTTTTGTTCCCTGACTACTGGACTTATAACCATAATAAAATCTTTCCTCTCACTCTTAGGTTTTTCAATTACAACTGCTTCCACCTACTAATAACAGCATACCAGCCAATAACATGGGTAGTATTCAACAAACGCTCAAAATCTTAAATCCAAGTAATGTGAGTAGTTTTTAATTTTTCAACAATGTCTCTTTTATTTAATTTGAACAAAGGTTTTTAAACAAGTTCTGTAGAGGACCAAGTATGTACTGTGCACAAAATTAAATATGAATTGCTCTAATAACTTTTGATCGTATTTTCACATACCAAGATGCTCCTTTATTCTTTTGAGAGTAAAAATTTAATTAACTTGTGCACATGAAATTTTAAGTTACAAAAGTAGATATGAAAACAGGCTTTTTTTGTCGGATTTGAAATCTTAGCAGAAAAATTTTCAGGTGTTGACATAGTCCGAAAAATATAGTCTTCATAGCATAGCTGCCAACTTTTATGAATTCTTCGTAAGATTTTATTTCTAAAGTAGTTGCAAAGTTTATGCTTTTATTTTCATATCTTGGATTTATAAAATTCATTTTGAACACCGCTATATATATAACTTAAACATTAATAACAAACATAAATAACTGCCAAGTATATTTTTGTTAACTTAAAATATCATCTGCATGAATCAGTTAACCTACCGTATTTTTCGGCAAAAGCGCCGCACATCGATAAAATTGAAATTTTTTGAAAAAAAGTTATAGTAAGCGCCGCAATGGCACTAAACCGGGCATATCAGCATCCTTTTAGAAGAGACCTTTAAATTACCATTTAGAATATCTGTATAATAAAAAATTAAATTTTTGTATGCATTTCATAAAGTAAAGTTTTAATTTCTAAATTATAATAAAAAATTTCTTTTTCAGCAAAAAAAAAAAAAAGTAAACAACAAAACGATATAAAATAAAGTTGTTCTTACCAGTTTGCACCGCGCCAAAAAACAGAAGAACAGCAAAAAAATTATTTATATGTGCAGTAGCTACGCTGAACTGATTACAGAAATCAGTAAAACAATGTAATAAGAAAAGTAAAATAAAAATTTATTATAAGAAAGATTTTAAAATAAAAAGGTTTTAAAATTTATTACCGTTAACAATTTGAGGAAAAACTAATACATAATAACGAAACAGCTAATAATAACGAAATAACTAACAATAACAAGAATAATAAATAACTAAACAAGCCCCAAAAAAATTCTGAAGGAATGAGAGAAGAGGAAATAAGCTTCACTTTCACAATCTTAGGGGGTGGAATTTTAGTGGGTAGAATGCCCTCTCCTTCAATGGAAATACCCAATGTGACTCAACTTAGAAAGAGAAGAAAATGTTTAAAAGAGGGGTGTACCCCACCTCCTCCACGTGTCATTTCTACTGGAGCTGTTTAGGAGAAATCAATCAGTTATACTTTAAAGGGGTTGGGGAAAAGAAAAGGGTATGGGAACCCCTAATCCAGCATTCCAAAATTCAGCACTTAATCTGATCTAATTTTTTTTTTTTTTTTTTTTAAGAAATTTATATTGATAAGATAAAAAAAAAATCAGCTATATTCTTTTTATTTGGAATTTTATTCTGTTGAAGTAACTTACTTTATTTTATCTTTTAAAAATAAAAAAGAAGCTTGAAAAAAAAAATCTGTGTCAAAGGAAACATCTGTTTCTTAAGCAGTTTAAAATAAATTGAGAAGTAAAAACATCTGCATTTCCAATGAACAAAATAAAGAAATGCAAGTTGGAAAAAACTGATCAATCAATCTTGACAGCTAGGCTTGCACTTTACTGATTCGCCCCCAATTCTCCCTCCTCTGTTTGACCATAAATTGGCCACACCCAGTTGACATTGAAACTACCATGTAGACAACAAAATGAATTCTATCCCTTTTGCGGTTTTTTATTCGATTTATTAATTTTTTATTTTGCCGCTTTTTATTAGTTATTAACTGCTAATTTGTTGTTTTTTTTTTTTTGTAAATAGTGAGCTTGTTTTTTTTCTTGCTAATAGTTGTTTGCTTGTTTCTTTTTTTTTAACGTTATTAGTTTTTCGCTTGTTTTTTGTTGTTATTCATTGTTAGTTTCTTAGCAATAATTGTTAAATTTTTTTTCTTTTTTTGTAGTTCCTTGTTAGCTTTTTTTTATTTTTTTTTTTTTGCGAGGTAAGCGTCTTTTGTTAAAACAAAATGTTATCTAAAAGAAAAAACGAGAACTATGATCTCGCTCCAAAGAAGAAACGATTATTTCTTCTTCATAGGATTCGAAATATTTCTTCTTGATTATATTATATAGATTATTATTTTGATTAGTAAAATTTCTTTAGATGGGCCAGTTTTAAATTCACCCCATCATAATCTACGATCGAAACTTGACTAAATTTATCGGTTTTTCTGAAATTAACAATGGAATTGAATTATAGTAATATTAGGGGCCCATATTGGAATTTCCGAAAGAGATCCAAAAATCGGCATTTCGTCAGTCCCGTGAGTGTCGGATTTAGGGTCCTATTACTTCCTTTTCTGTTCGCTCAAATTACAATTGCTGATGTTCTGCAGCAGATCGCGATACAGGCGAATATTTCGTCGACTTCGTTATTAATTTTTTTTAAATAGTCTTTCTCTCGGAAAATTATTTAATCTTATATAACTTTCCTTGAAAAAAATTTTTGCTACTAAAAAATATCTCTTCGGAAGCTCCGCATGTAGGAAAAAACAACTTTTTTTCGATAGCGCCGCGGCGCTTCCGCCGAAAAATACAGTAATTAAATGTGGCTCCTAAATGGAAATCTGAGAGCATTTGATCAAAAGTTATATAGCTGTTCTGTTTTTATAGTTTTGTGTACTGTACAAACATTAAATAAAGTTCAAAATCTTGTGTACAGATTCACCTAATTTTTAGAAGTAAAAAAAAAAATATATTTTGAGTTACAGAATTTTTAAGTTAAATATAGTACTCGAGACTAATTTTAGGCATATTATGAAATTTTTCATGTTCCTAATTGTCAGTCGCAGCTAGTTTTTATAAATATTTATAGTTTTATTTGTTAAATATACTTCTAAAACATTCGTTTTTCTGTTCGAATAAATTTGTTACTGCTAATAAATGAAGAGCAGTGACCAAAAAGTTGCACCATTTGTACATAGTTGTATTATAGGGAAATCATATAGTGTTTATTCAGGAAAATGTAAATCTGCAAAAAGGGTTTTAAATAGATGTAAATTAGCTGCAAGTCACACCATTTGCACAACTTTGATTTCATAATTATTAGTTTCCGAATATCAGTTAACCCAAGTAGGCAGAGCAATACCTCAAGACTAGCACCTTGTGAGTAAATTGTTAAGGAATAAGTAAATTGTTAAGCACCTTGTGAGTAATTGTCTTAAATTTGTCAGTCAGAAGAATGAGAAAATGGTACTCTGAAAAAACAAACCTATACTAGAGTTGGGGGATTATTATTATGATTAATTTTATGATATTTAAATAAAATATGTATTTGTATGTTTTCTTTTCCCTTAACTTAAATTGTCAATAAAGGAAATTTGTTAGACTGAAGCAATAATGGTTTATCGATTGTTAAATCCTTAACTCATTTTTAGAATTAAGCTGTAACTAAATTTGGAATTTTCTAAGAATTTTGTTTTAATAAGAAGTTTTAAATGAAAATTTGAAGAATAAATAAATAAAAGCACAGATTTTATTATTATCTTAATTTTTCTATATTCTAATTTTTTATTTATTATTTCATATCCATTTTTAATACCACACTATTTTAGTTTTAATTTCTATTTGATTAAGTATATCTAAACATTTATACAAACAGTACATAGTTAAACATTTTATGATTTTTTATTGTATGTATAATTTTTTGAGACAATTTAGAAACTTGTTAAATATGATATAGAAATTATTTATATTTCGACATATACATTGTGTAAGAAAATGATTAAAAGTAATAATTTTTTTAGACTTATTAAAAATTAAATCCTTAAATCTTGAATTATAATTTTTTTCCAGAGTCAATTACGAATGAAATTAAGAATATCTTATGTATCAAATGGGAATGCCGTTCTAGAACAAGTAGAAGTAAACAATATTCCTCAAGCTGTTTACATGTGAAGTGACTGGTATGCATCTTCAATGTTTTACATCTGAAGTGCTATTTTTGTCCCATTTTAAGGATATATTTTATTTTTCCACGAATTCAAAGTCTGTTTTCCTTTTTTAAACTGTTAAATAGTTTGTATATTGTATATTCTAGTATTAAAAACTGTTTTATGTACCTGTGATTTAAAATTAATAAAATTTTATTTTAAAATGATGTGCTTGTTACTTTGACAATCATTATAGATACTATTCTATATCTTGTTTCCTATTTTCTTCTTGAATGCATTAACTTTTTTATTTTGAACGATTTAATATTGCTTATTTTATTTGGAAAGATAAGTTTTTATAAAATATTCAGTTCTAAATTTCATTTTTTTTTTATTTCTCTTAAATATTTTGAATAATTGTCATATTAGGTTATTTTTAAATTATTAATATTTTCTTATTATATGTTGTTTAAATTTTTTAAAGGGTGTAATAGAAATTTTTATTTTTTTATTTAAGTTATGATTTGAAAATATATTTACAAATTTGTTTTGAGTATCTTTTTTATTATAACTTTTTATTTAAAGATTTATTTTCGAATGTAAAATTATAGACTGTTCAGTTTTGTAAGTTTTTATAAATTGAATGAAAGTTATTTTAACTCTTAATTCTTTTTATTTTGCCATTTATTATCCTCTAAATAATTTAGAACTCAAAAAACCTTCAAAGTCTTACATTAATGTAAAAAAGGAAAAATTATGTTCTTTTTTTTTATATATGTTATTATCGTTTTATATATATATTACTCAAATGAATAAGTCCAAGATTAGAATGTAATGATCACTTGCAAAGAATTGAATAGTGGACTTACCTGTCTTGCGTGAAGATTCATTCATATGGAATATTGAAAATGTTTTTTAAAGTACAGTTTAGCCTATTATGAGTTATCAGACATCTTACATTAATAATTTCTGTTAGTATACTTTTTATCACAGTGTCATCTATATTATTAATGGTTACTCTCAATATTAAGTAATATATTATTAATAGTTACTCTCGATCTATACTAATCTTGACAAAATGAGAATTTTTTATCGAATGTTTTAGAATCATTAAAAATATATTAGATACAAGTATACACCCAGAAAATTAAATAGAAATGTTATCAAAAATTTATTTCCCCTTATTGGAAAATGAAAACAAAAATTTCTTTATTAGAAATAAAATGATTTATTATGTTGAAATTTTATTGAATTTAATTTGTTTAAAATTTTCTTAATCTAATAAGTTAGTTCATATCATTTACTTTTTTTAAAGAAATCAACTGTTTCTGACACATTCGCTACTAAAAATATGAGAATCTAATGTAAAAGATTTAATTTTATAGCTGTAATACTAGGAAAGATATATCTTTTTATAATTATCAGTAGTTGCATTGCTGAATAAGTTGAATATTGTAATATTTTCTACTGCCTATCTGAAAGCATAATTATTTAACAATTGTGGACTTTTTTTTAGTTACAAATAGTGTAAACATTACGTTAAAGTAGCTAGTGTCACAAAACTAAGGAACTTGGAAGTTTGACATTTTAAGATTCACGCAGGCCACGTGACCCAATGGTGGTCCAGCAATCTTCGATCATTCTTTTTACCTCGTTCCTGGGTCACACTTGATTTATAGTAACGTTTAATTAGCTTAATGAAAGTAAATGATACTATTTATGTTTGGCTCAATAAAGCTCTTGTGGCATTAAAACTTAAATGTGACACAATTGAGATAAAATAATTAACCTGGAAAAGCTGAGATATTTCTTATTAAAATTTTGAAATAATGTATCTAAAGGAAGTATAAGTATAAATTGATGTTATAGAAGCATTAGTTAAGCTAACAACAATCCTCCAACTAAAACATTCATATCCAAATATTTTTTACATTATTAAAGTATAATATTAAAATAATTAATAAGCACTGTTTCTAAGATTTTAAGCTCAATTAAGGTTTTAAAATGTTCATAAAACAGTCACAACTTTTAGTATTTGATATTAAATTAATTTAAGACATTTACTGTTAAAATTGCATAAATGTGTCCTTTACTCACTTTTTTCTTCAATTGTCCTTTGGCAATTTTTCAAATACTGTAATTTTCACAATTATCCCACTAGTTTAAACTGAGTTCATCTTAATCAATGAGTCAATATTAAATTTGTTCTTAGAAAAATATTTAAATATTAGTTCTTTTTAAACTTTTTAGTTTAAAATTTTATATGACATATTATTTTTAGCATATTTAAACGTCTATACCATAGTTAATTATTTTATTATAACTGAGATTTTTAGTTTTGAGATATAGAGATTTATTTTTAAAAAAATTATACTCTTAAACACTTTGTCTCCTTTTTATTATTACGAAAAATGAAAATATTTTTTTTTTCTTTTAAAAAGGAATGTAGAAACCTGTAAGTTAAACATATATATAGTCTAAAAATTAGCCCTTCAATTTTACCTATACACAAACGTTTCTTTTTATTCATCATTGAAAGAAACTGACAACAATTGAGAAAAGTTGCACCAACAGAAGCAACAAAATTCAGTCATTTAAGTTGTAGTGAGATTAAAAGTGTAGATAACCCATTGATACCTTTTTGGCATAATTCTATTTTTTTTTAACCACACTAAAAATGCTATTATTAATTTATTAAAAATTTTAAAACTTTATATGGTTTTTATATAATTTTATGATTATCAGTTCTCATCAATACTTTTTATTAAAGTGTTTTTATTATTGCTTTAATTTATTTGTTTCATAATGTTCGAATTCTACACTAAACTTTCTGCATGTTTTGAATTTTATTGAAATTTACATGCTTTGTTTTATATATAAATTTCTGACCATCCATGTTTAATATGAATTTTCACCCAGTTGTTGCAATAAATTTCATTACAAACAAAATATTTGTTTTTTCTTATTACTAATATTAAAGTAGCATACAGTTTTTTGACATATTTGAATATGTGTCCTAAAGTATTTTATTAAATTATCAAATACTGTTTGAAAATTCAAGGATCTTGGAAAAGTAAAGTGGTAGAAAAATATATATACTGAAAAATATTTTTTTTAGTATTTAATTTTTTTAACATACATTATGGTGGTTGCAATTCTTTTAAGCCTTCCGAATATAGAGTTATATAAATTTGTAATAACTTTTTTTATGTGTTTTTGCTTTGGAAAAAGCAAACCCATTATTGATAAGTTGTCTTATTTTATATTCTATTTTTATTAATATATTTTGTGATAATCAGGTGTGTATTAAAGCCTTAGTCCTATTTTTCAATCAATGTTAGTCTGAAAAATTAAATGGAGCATAATTCCTATTCGAATAACTTCTTAATTTTTTCTATATTTGGAAATTAAAAGAATTTCATTTAAAAATACTATCAGAAAATTTAGAGAAATAGCATTCTAGCATAAAAATATCGAGAAAAGCATTTTGTTTTATATTCATTGCTAGAAGTGTTATATGCATCGAAAACTGAATAAAAACAGTATTTTGCTGGCACTTTTTATTTTTAAGAGCATAGAATCCATTGTTTCACAGTATGCCTTAGAATAGATAGGTTCAAAAATCTGTTGTGACCTTAGAGATAATTTTTTTTTATTATTGCCAATTATTAATGATTGCTAATTAAATGTCCTTTAATTCCAAACTGCGTTGCATCCTTTTCTTTTCTAGACATATACAGTAGGGAACCGATTATCCGGAACGATCGGGACCATCGATATTCCGGATAACTGATTTTTCCGGTTTTCTGAATCGCTGCAAAAAGCCGTTTTTTTATTGTTAAACCCAACTAAAAAAATTAAAAAAATGGAAATAATCTTAAAAGGAAGAAAAAACGATGAAGTAATACACTAATGATTATTTCCAAAATGATGGTAATTAAACATCTTTAAAAAAAGAACGAAAAATCCTAAAATCTTATGACGAAAAAAATTTTTTTTTTTTAAAAATGACGGGAAAACTAATCGAATTTCGTTCCGGTTTTTTGGTTTTCCGATTTCCGGATAACGGGTTTTGTACTGTATATGAAATGCTATATGAAGAAACATTTTAAAGATAAAAACTTCAACATAAGCATCAACTTGCATATTTTTGAAAATTTGAGAACAACATAAAAGTACAAAATATAATATTATAAAACTGCTCATAAACAAAATACACAGTCATAAAAATAAATATCTTAGCTCACTAGAGTCTTCCAAATTGAGGTTTTCACATAATTATGCATTATATAAAGGCACTTTTTCATTAATTGAGATCCATCATCATGATTTTTGTATTTATTAAAGAAACCTTGCTTCTAAAAATAAATATCTGAGACTTCTTGGAACAGAGAGACATTAGCAAGAACAATACTAGCTCATTTTTATTTTTTCTGTCGGAATTTGAGATTTAAAATTTTTTTTTAACACATATTGAAATTAAATTATATCATATAATGTTGAAAAGAAAATGTATATTTATGATAAATGTTAATTTTACAAAAAATTTTCTCATCTGTAAAAGAGTAAGCAAAGTGTCGTACAAAGAATTCCAAAAACAAAATGTGTATGTAAATTCGAGAATTGATATAAGTTATTTATTTTAAAATTACTGTGATAGTCTCTGCAAAAATGCTAAATCTTAATAGTCTTTTTATAAATTGCACTATACCAAAGTAGTGTTAGACATAAATTTAATAAAATTATAAAACGACGAGGGTGATTTTAAGAACAGGCATTAATATGGTTTACGTGTTAAATTAATGATGAAATAATTAAGTGTTCTTTCAATTGAAAAGTTGTGAAAAATGAGCACTAATTCAAATTTTATCTGTATATATATATATATATATACTGATATAGGACAAAATAATAGGAACACTACATTGTTTCACTATGCACAGGTGTTCCTATTATTTTGTCCTGTACCTGTATGTGTAAATCATCTGCAAATAGCAGTAAAATTGTTGATATTGTAATTTGTTAAGAATCTAGAACATACATTTATAAGTTTGTGAAGCATTTATACATAATTAGGAATAAAACCTACAATGTATTTATTTGTCGAAAAACTGCAAATAATAATGATTTGCTATAATTTTTACCACAAACAATTATGTGGTTAGGAAGTTAATGCTTTATGAAATTTGAATCATAGCTTGAAATATGAGGAATTATGATTTATTCAGTTTAACTTCAAATATGTTCTTGTCCTATTTATATTACATATTTATATTTCAATATATTTTTCTTTTATTAAAGATTGAAAGTATTACACACAAAATGTTAATTTTTAGAGCAGAACCTTTATTTCTTTATGCTTTTATTTGTCAGTTGATCATCTTTTATTTATGCTTACATTATTAATTTGCTGAACTTTTCTGTGAAAACCTATTTTTTTAAACTTGCAGTAAAAGTTTGTAAACTAGGAAATTAATTTCAATATGTACCATACTGTCACCTGATTTTCATGCTTTTAATTCAAAATTCTAATATTCAAGATTCATGCTTAAATTAAAAACAAGGATAGCTGATAGCAGACTACAACCACTCTTGAAAAGCATATTTCTGAGAACATGTACAGTGCAAACAAAACAAAAAAAAGAATCACCTTATATAACTTTTGACCCAACGATCGGATTTTGGCTTGCTTAAGACTCGATCTTAATGGTTAAAAGGGAGGACCTCAAATATGCTAATCAGTTAGTGCAGACAATATTTTAAGTTTTGAAATCAGATGCAGAAATGTACTTTCTCTGAATAAATATACCTTTTTTGACGAATTTGGATTTCTTAACCTCAAAATATAGGGCTCAGGAGAGAAGTTGAAAATTTGGACCCCTTAATGTTAATTTTATTTTTTACCTATCTCATTTTATCTTGAAAACTTTTAAACGAATTTAAAATTATTGCACACCATTATGAAATTCGTTAATCCAAAATAATTCTATACAAAAAAATTATTTTTAATAATTATTTATTATTTTATTTAAGAATATTAAAAAAATTGAATTTCAAAGTAAACGCAATTTTACATCATTTATCAAATTATGTTTACATAATTACTCTCAAAATCTAAGTAATTAATTTTCTAAGGCAAAATCTAAAATTTGAACAAAATCAGTCAAATAGACCTAGGGAAATATAATTTTAAAAGAAGTCAGATATTTAAAATTCGATTTATCAGGAACTATTGAGCCGATTGGATTCATATTTTTCATTTTGTCTTATAAAATTATAATCTGTAAAGAAGCATAAAAATTTGTTTACCTAGCGCTTCAAAAAATTTTCGACTATTATTAAATAAAATAATAAATGATTACTAAAAAAACTTTGCATGGATATTAAACATTTTTTTATGCATGGATCTTTGAATTGACGAATTTTATGATTGTGTGTAAATATTTTTAATTATCTTAAAAAGTTCTGGAGATATGGCAAAATACCCAATAAGTAAAATTAATATGAATGGGTGCTAACTTTCAACCACTCTACTGAACCAAACTATTAGAACTATATACCCAAGATTGCAGTTATTACCTATAGTTTGGGGATCAGTAATCATAATCTGTATGANCCCACTGTATGAATGGGTGCTAACTTTCAACCACTCTACTGAACCAAACTATTAGAACTATATACCCAAGATTGCAGTTATTACCTATAGTTTGGGGATCAGTAATCATAATCTGTATGAAAAGAGGTATGTTTATACAGAGAAAGTAAGATTTCGAATCTGATTTTTCAATAATTTAAAATATTGTTTGCTCTAACTAATCAGCATCTTTGAGGTTATTACCTTGATAGATTGTGTCCTAATGCGTAAAAATACGATCATCAGAACAATAGTTATTCAAGGAGATTTGTCTTTATTTCAACACTGTATATATGTATTTTTAGTATTAATGAATTATCTGTTACTTTTTTTAAAAACAAATCTGATGATAATACTACTTAATTTTAATAACATATCAATAACCACTTAAATTCTAAGTATAAAGTTTTTAAAATTTATCCCAAAGACGTTAGAGATATTAGTCATTGAAAAACCCTTTCTAGTTTCTTCAACTCAGTGAAATAAAATGCTCTGAGGGTTTTGTGTTCTACTATGTATTGTTAAAAGCATACTGTTTTATTGATTATGATCTCAAGTCATCAACTATATTTTTCTTTTTTTATATAGAAATATTTCAATTGTGATGGTTGGATATAAATTTCCTGGGCTGTAAATTGTTGAAATTTCAACATTATGCCATTAAGACTGTTTTCAAGGAAAGAGATTTTTAGTTTGGAAGTAATGGCAGTTAGAAGAAGCAGTATTTAGGAGCTTTTTAAAATTATATTTTGCACTTAATCATTCCATTGTTAACTATATAGTTGTACAGTATAATTTTTAAATTAAAATTCATATACATATATATTTATATTCATTTAACTAATGACTATGTTTGGAAGAAAAAAAACTTTCATACTCTTTCTAAATTTTGTGATACTGTTTTTCGTAACTTACAATTATGGCTGTCAAAAATTATAGAATTTGATAGTAAAATATTTTGTTATTTTAAATTTCTCTTTTATTTCTTTGAAACTCTTGGTGTATTGAACTATATTTGATATCTGAGTTAGTATTTCTTACTTTTATTTGAACATAATTAGTCTAATAAAAAAATTTTGTTATTGTAAATATGTATATTTAAAGTATTTGATATTAAGACTTAGCTTATTTATTAATAAATTGGAATAAGGTTTTTTTAGATGATTTTTTTAATATACTAATCAAAATGTTGAGATTGTCTCTATGGTGCCAGAACTATAATTGGTACATTCTGCCTTATACAAGCATATTTTCCCTACATTTTAGAAGCTAATTATTTGATTTAAAATTTACTTTTGTTTTCTTCAAAAGCCTTATTTGAAAAAATCATAGTCCACAAAGAACTTTGCTTGTTTCAAAAATGGGTGTGGGCAAAAGACTTTTTCTATATTACCTAACTTTAATTGTGCATCAGAGTTGGAAAAATAGCCTTCTTCTACATAAAGATGTGATCACTATTTTTAAACTAGTTCTTCAGATTTCCAAATCATCTTCACTGTTTAATATTAAAAGTGTACTTATAAAGCATAAAATTTTTAAAACCATAAAAAAATCAATTTAAATAAAACATCGAATGACTCTAGTTTTGCTTACTTATTGTCAATAATGTCTGATGAAAAACTTCACCTGTTCTTAAATCTGTCGAGTATTTAATACAGGAAAGACTTTATAATTAGATCATAATTAACCTTTCAATGTCATGATTTATATACAGTAAAAGTCTGCTATGGAGACAATTCAAAATAACAAGCAGAATTGTTGTTATAATAAACTTGTCTTTATAAACATATTTAATGTTGAAATAACAGTAAAAAAAGCCAAAAGATTGAATAGACATATTTACTTCGTATTCTTTTATTTTGAACAGCTCATTTGATTTAAAATACATACCTGGAGTAGACTGCTTTTACCAATAAAAACAACTGGACTTGTAGATTTTGCAATAATGCAAGCAAAAAAAAAAAAAAAATGAAAGGACGTAGGATAGCTTTTGACATTATCAATAATACTGAATGTTGATTTAAAGCGTAAGCTGTCAAGAAGAGAAACAAGGAGTCATTGTAGATATGTGATCAACAAAAGGCTGAAAAAAATTTTCTTGGCCCACATATGACTTAATAAACATAAAGGGTTAAAACTAAAATTATTTGCCGTTTCTATATTGATACCAGAATTAAATGAAAATATCTTCCATTTTAATTTTTATATAATATTGCTCACTTTAAACAATAGAAAAATGTATTGACTGCAAAAAAAGAAATAATAATTGCTATAGCCGGAAGTTAACTATTTCCAGCTTGTTATAAACATATAATTTTTGTGTCTTTAATATTAGCATTTTGACGATGACTTGGAAACTTGTGGTAATAGCAGACTTTTCAAAATACACTGTTACATCAAGCTTTTACTGTATATATATCACAAAAAAATATTATCTCTGCATTTACTTTTTTGATTGTAGAAAAAAATCTCTTTTACCCCAATATATTTGTTATTGATTCTCAAAGTTTTTAAAAATTTTTGCTAACCAAAAAAACCTTTAAAAAACTTCTTAACTTTTATATCTTAAATCCAATTCAATTTAAAGATTTTTCTTTATTAAAACTGACATTTGTTAGAAGTTTGCTAGTGTAGACAAAAATTTTGCATTATTGGATGATTAGGAGGAATCATAAGTAATAAATGAGATTACGACATGAATATATCAGAAGAGGAAGATGATGAAACAGATATATTTTGGCAATATTTAATAATAAGACATTTATTAAAGCATAGTTTTGCAAAAGGCATTGAACATTCTGAACTTATTTAAATTTTTAGAAAGTAAATAACCAAATTCAGAAAAATATTTGCAATTTGCAGCAACTTACTTCAAATGTAAGGAAATCTTATTTAAGTTAATAAGTAGGTACTATTTCTCTATTTTCTAAATTTATGTTCTCTGAATAACTTGCATAATATTTTTGTTGAAATGTTAACATTTTAAATATCACAAATTTGTCAATGTCTTAAAGTTTGTGATATTGAAGTTTGACTGTATATATATTTATATATACTATAGTATTGACTAAGAATTGTTAAGCATATACATTGAACTTTTTAATATAAAATTTTAAAAAATAATTATTATTTTGTTTGATTCATAATACTCTTTTACAGCAAAGTCGTCAAAAATTCTAAAACTTATGTCAATTCAACACAGTTAAAATTTATAAGTTGAATTTTTAAATTCAAATATTTATCTCCTTTTTATATCTTGTTCAGTTCTTCTATTAAGTTTGCCCTCATTCAGTGAGAGCATATCATGTTAATTTGGACATTTTATGCATAATTTTTGGTGGATCTCTGCTTTAAACTGTTGGTTAGAAAAACCAAGCTTTCTTCCAAGCATTTGAGATAAAGATGCATAGTATTTCTTGTGATAATTTTCCACTTGAGAATCAGAAAGTATAAAATAAGAGTAGCTGAATTCCATTGGGCATTATGAGGAAATGGTGATTCTCCATTTAGTTATGGAGTATCCATCAATTTTTTTTTTTCAGAAATAGAATGCTTCTTACAATTCTTATAGATAAAATGATCTTGTTGACCAGGATTTTGAATTATTATTATTTCACTTTTTGGCTTTTAAGACTGATGCTAGATATTGTATTACTTTATCACTTTCTCCACAAATTCATAATTGAGAGTTAATTTGTAAGAAGAAATCTAATTTAAGACGTCTAGCAAGTGCTTTAGGATTCTAACAAGAACATGATGCTGACAGCTAATATGTCATGGCTGATCAAATCTTCTAAGGACATTCACTTGTCCAGTATTTACTGCTATGTCTCGTGCAATCTTTTTGACATGCTTCTTTACATCAAATTAATTCATCAAGCTTTGCAGTGCATTTAAAATATCTTTTGATGATCCACTTTCTGTTTTACTACACTTTTCAATACTTTAAATGTACTCTTTAGATTATTTTTAAAGAGATTCTGCAAGCTCACCTATATATGGTTAGCACTATAAACACTAAACAACATTGGTTCTCTGCAGAGATTGCAAAAAGCTTTCTTTTTTTGCAAAATAGATTTCATTTCTCACTTCGCAGCTTTACTATACATCCTATTTAATTTAGCTCACAATACATCTGTCACTGATTGTTATGTAACACAAATTTTATTTTTGTCTAGACTGGAGCACACTACAGCAGCTTTATTACTTGTAAGAGATATCTTGTCCTGTTGAAAACATTGTTTTCTTTTGTCATTTTCTTCTGATAAAGATACTATGATGCTAATAAAAGATGTAAGATTTTAGTACTGTTTACTTTTACTAGTGATTTCGTGGTAGGATTTCTATTGGCCAAGGACAGAGAAGGTGTTTAATTCAGATTGTGAAGTTTGTTTCAACACTCGCTTAGAGGGAGGGCAACAATTATGCAAAAACTGTGTTTGTTACATATGAATACTTTATTTGAATAATTGGACAGTTCAACTTATTAAAAAATAGTGTTAGCCTCACTTTCTTGTTCATACAATTCATTTCTATCTTATTTTGTAACTAGTACACCTACAGCTTATTTCCCCTGCTCAAATTATGGCACCATATGTCAAAGCAGCCAAAATGAGAAAAACAAGAAACGCATTAGATTTTAAGGCTCAGTATCTTAGAATAAACAAAGATTGAACTGGTCTGCTATTTAATAAAACCTTTGTAGTCGATTTTCATTTGTAACTTATCTAGTTCTTTTCCTTCTTGGCAAAACCAATTTTGGTCTGTTTTCTTTATGTCAAATATATTTTCTATTTCAATTTGAAATGTCTTCTTTTATCGAATTTTGGTTCTTGTATTAGAAATCACTAATCACACCGCCAAGAATCTTCCATGCTTCTAAGTGCCTCATAGGACAAATTATGGAGAATTTTATCACTGAATCATTACTTGTATCATTTAAAATAATGTTTTAGCAACACATTTCAGACACTTTGTGATGAGCAATAGTAAACAAATTTACTTTTTAGTTACCACAGGTTTTAGCACACTAAAACAAAAACAAATTGTTATGAAAAGTTTTTCAAAACCACCTGCAATAATAAGTTTTCACTGATCCTGACACTAAAGATCGTCAATTTGGACCAGAGGAAATAAAAAAAAAATTTTAGTCATCCCTAGCATATATAGAGAGAGTTATTTTCATGTATGTTACTGCATCTATTTATCAATCATAATGTAACTTGTTTTTAGATTGCTTCATGGGTAATAAAGGCTAGTGACCATATTTTTTGCAGTTTATAACACTATTGTTTGTTTTGTTACCTTGAGTATGCAATGTTCAAATTTGCGATCCAATTTATTTACCTTTTTGTACTGTAAAATTTTACATTCAAGCCAATAATTTATCAAATTTGCTTTGCTCTATACTTTTTGAATTTTTTAATTTTGAACGATTGTGTATTAATTAGGTGTTATACCGCATGAAATAGTATGCACCCAGTGCACACATTCATTCATCTCAATTACTATAGATCAAAACTTATTTGTAGCACTTTTTTCTTCTGTCATATTATTTTATTTTTGTTTTAATTAAGCCTTGCAAAATTACGTAAAACTCCTCTTTTTAATGTAAGTTAACTTACAACATTTTTGCCAGTGTAAACTAACATTTTTTTCACAAAATTTTGGGATCATAATTAGTTTTAGAAAAATATTTATTTTTTAAATATTGTAATATGTATCGTTCACAAGCTTTAAGAGTATTAAATAATTTTAAAATATCTATTATAAAGTTTTAAAAAAAAATCTTGACCAGATATATGTAATATGATCAATATTTTATTGTAAGCTAGACAATGAAAGTTTTGAGCAAAAACTGTTGTAGATCATTTAAGATTTCTCCAGATTTTTTTTATATTAAAAATGCTTTGAATACAAAACAAGTACTACTTCAATTTTATTTTTTCTATAAGTACATTCTTTAGACATTATTTTTTGAAGAAATATAGCTGAATCCTACTAGATAGGCTTTCCCCCCTCAAAATTGATTGTTTCAAAACCAGTTAAGTCGCACATTTCTTTTTCTTTTTTTGATTAAAAATTAAAATCCTTTTAATGATAGAAACTAGCTTAATATAATTATTTTTCCAAAAGCATTTATTCAAATGCCTTAATAAGAAATGAGTTTCTTTCTCGTGTAAAGTCTATGGAAATAAGCAAGTCAGTTTTGAAATCAATGATTTTTTCTTTTTTTTTTGTATAAATTTAACACTTTATTTCTACATTTCCCTTTTACTCAAGTTTCATTATATTTCTATTTCTGATGTACTCTTCGTTTCTGTAAATATAAATTAGAATGTGTGATTGGTTTATACCAAAAGATGAAAGACTATGCCATACTTGCCTTAAGTAGAAGTTCTTTTTGTGTCTTTATATAATTCTGTATGTCTGTTTTAAATAGATGTCTTGTGTATTCTATTTCTCTTTATCTTTAATGCAAAGTATGTTTTGGTGTATTTTCTGTTTGTTTCATCTTAAAATTTTTTAATTTGTTAAAACACCTCTCTTTATTATACTTTTGTTTAAAATAGTGAAAGTATTATTATACAATGGATCATAGCTTTCAAAATCTTTTTTATATGTATCTCAAAAGCCTAAGAGTAAATAATTCTCCATAAAAATGTTTGTAAAAACTAGTAAATTAAATCATATTTTTCCATTAAAGGTACTTGTATAAGGCCATTTGTGTATAAAAGTATTAAATAAAGACTATTATTTAGTACTATCATTATCAGTTTATTCGAGTGTTTCACGTTTAAATTGCTCCCAATTACCATTAGCGTAAAAAGAAAAAAAATCATATTTCTAGGATTGCCGCGACTAGGAAACTTTTGTAAAGAGGTTCCTCTGTTCATTTTTTTATTACAAGCGCATCTCTGTCTATCTATACAGATTACAATAAATATTCTTCGTCAGTCAAATTTAATCAACTTGAATGAATTGTGCTTTTTGTCAGGTTAAGCAATTAATTGTCCCAGTTCTCCAACCCAACAGTACAATATTTCAAGCCTTAGAGTTGAATAATTCTTAGCATTCTTTTCTGAAAGGGCATAGTGTATTTAAGTTAATTAAATTTGTAATATTTTACATTTGTTTTGTTCATATTCTCTTAATACATATGTTCGTCCCCTCTTATGAATTTATTGTTTCATTTCAGAATATTTAAAAAAAAATTTCTGAGTGTCTACTTAACTATGTTTTTATTGATTTGCCTTTTTGTGTGAGGGGGTGGAATGTTGTAATTAAAATTTTTCAAATTTCAGAGTAGCTAAAACCTTTAAATGCCTACTGGAGCTCTGTACTGGATGACAACATAATTATTTATTGTATCTTAACCACTACAAGCAGAATAGATGATTTTAGTTAGAAACAAAATCTAAAAGTCCGCTAAAGGGAAGTGAAGTGAATACGTGTTTTTTTTCTACAGGTTTTAATGTGATATATGTTTGATTTCAATTTTTTTTAATAAAATTTAATTATCTCATGAATAAAAACAATTTTTATAATGAGACAAATCAATGAATCTAATGGCATAAATGTTTTTTTAAAGCTGAATGTGTTTTTATAAAGAAAAAAATCATTTTAGTATAGATTTCTTTATCTTACTAAAATGATTAATTTCTTAATATAAAAATTAAATAATTTACTTCAAATATTTCTGATGTTATTTTATTATGTTATTGCATTATTTTTAAAAAAAGAATATCAAGTTATCTAGAAAGGCAGGGTTCCCACGCTCCTTAAAAGTCCTTAAAAACTGCTTAGTTTTTATTTTGAAAATTAAGGGCCCTTAAAAGTACTTAATTTTAATTCAAGGTTCTTTAAAGTCCTTAATTTCTAGTATCACTAGTTGGTTGGAGCAATTTTTATATCTTAGAAAAGTATCCACAGTTAAAAAGTACGTCTTTCGCCTAGAATGAGATCCTGCATCGAGGGTAGAACATTTTAAATGCATGTGAGGGTAGGGGTTACAAGCAAGTGGAAGAAAACACGCTTTAATTGTTTTTATTTTGTTATTAATTTTTTTCATTAAAATATTTTTTCTTTCTGGATCATTCTGAAAGAAAAAAATTTAGTGTGGGGAGAGAGGAGCGTGATACTGCAGGTGGGTAGAGGTCTTGACTTATTTTTAGACAGTACTTAGATACTTTATCAGCTGAAGACCTGCATTGACCTTCTTCATCCATAGGATTCGAGAAATTCAATTCTTCTGATAGCACACGTGATAGCTTTGATACTTCATTCAAATGTGAAATTGTTAGAAATACCAGGAAAGTGTGTTTTTAATAATTTATGGGCACTTGATGAAAAATATAAGGAATGGCTAACAGCATCTAGTGATCGTCACAAGGCAAAGTGTATTTTTTCATTGTGTCATATTTTCTTCTTTAGTTCAATTTTATAAATGACTCCATTTTTTAAAATTAAGGATATTACAAATATTCGGCAAAGTATAATTTTAATCAGGAAAGTCATTTTTGTCTTATCATCGACACTTTTTGTTTTGAAAAGAGTGAAATGTTTGTTATCTTTTTTCACTTTTGCTGGTTTTTTTTTTAAAGCGCGGCATTTTAACAGCGTTTCTGATATATTTTATCACCACTTTTTCTTTTAAAGTTATACACATAATTGGATAACCAGTAAAATAGAAAATTGATCTTCTACGTTGCAAGTTTTGTTTTAAGAATTTAGGAAAATTTTCTGTTTCTCTTTTGCTTTTTTGATTAATTGTGTTTTTTTTAATTTTATAGCACATTTTAAAGAGCCTTCTTTTTCGTAATTTTTTCTTAAGATCTGGTTGTGAGAAACACTCAAAGCGTAATCTGCAACGTTAAATTTTTCTTATAAAAAATGAGAACGATTTTTTGCTTTCATTTCTGTTTGGCTTCCCCATTTTTTTTAAAACAAAAAAAACTCTTGTTTTTGTTATGATGCAGCAATTTTAACGATCACTACTCTTAGACATTTTTAAATCGATGTATCGCGAATTGTTGACTTAATGCGCATATCGGCAGGGTGATATGATAACTTTTATTCTAGGCGAAGCATCAGGAATCTGATTTAAGACGATGCTCATGGTTTAACGTGCGAGGATTCTTGCCTATGCTAACGCTATCACCGCACTGACGAAGACTAGTTTGGTTTAGTCTAGCTGCGAAGATGTTCATTACATTTTTAGTTACAAAGATGATTTTCTTTTTGTGATATTGAATAACCAAGAGTGAGGATCAGCGTTGAAATATAGAACATGATGCATAGTTACTTTCTGCACCATTTTTGACCTTCGGATTTTACGTTTCTTGAAGATTATTTTCATCGGGAGTTATTTTGCGATTGCTGTGCGTTTTATTTCGACGGGATGTAACATTTCAAGTAAATTATTTTCAGTGAGACTTTTGCTACTTAGCGATCGTTGCGCATTATTTCGTCACTTTTTTTTCTGTCTGGATTTAACATTGTCAGTTATTTTCAGCAGACCTACTGTTACTTGGCGATCGTTGCGCAATTTCGTTCTGAACTTAATATATTAAAGAAAAGTCATGAATTAAAAAAAAAGATTCTTTATTGATCTTTTTAAAAGTGATACAATTTAATATTTTATATAGTATTTTGTATTTAAATAATTTATACTTTGTGATAAAAAGTTTTTTTTAAATTTATTTAATTCATGTAAATATAATAATGTGATAGAATTCGATTAGTTTTTAAACCAATAAATCTTCAGTTGCTTTTAGTTTAAAAAAATTTAAAACAAAGCCTACATTTAATTAATTTACTTTTATTTTTGAGGAAATTAAAACAGAGTTTGCATCCTTTCTTTTCTTTTTTTTAAATTTGGCTGTTAGTTAAAATTACTAATTTTTGTTAAAATTAAATAAAAAGTTAAGCAATGTTTTAACGCTTTTCAATAATTTGACAATAGTGTTCTTAAATATAGAATATTTTTTTAATTTTTTTAAAAATTCCTTCAATACTTGTTTGTTTAATAATTTGTTAGATAGTCAGTATTATTTTTAAACATTTAAATTAGTCTATTTCATTTTCAAATAGGAAAATAATAATAAATAAAGAAACTTACATGTATTTTTACATTAAAACCGTTTGACCATTAGTCAATACAACTTTATTATTTTAAATAAGTAATTAACAAAAGCCTAACAATGCTTAAAACGCGCATTTTTTTTCAACAAATAATTTAAAAAAAATTCTTTTACGTGAACATTTCTTTTTTTTAAATTTTTAATGTATGTAAAATATTTTGTAACAGTTTTATTACTATTTTTAAAAAATCTAAGTCATTTTTAATTTTAAAAAAATTTAAAATAAAGCTTGTGTTTGTTTTTACTTAAGACTAGTCAATCTTTAAGACAGTCTTAAGTCAATCCATCTTTATTTTAATTGAAAAAATTAAGCAATGCTATTGATGATATAGAAGCAATTTTTTTTAGAATTAACATTTTCTTTTGTTATAGATTTATTTCTTTTATTTATTTTTGATTGATTTAAAGATTTCTGATTGATAAATTTCAAACGTATGTTAAATTGCGATACATCGCGAAGTCTGACTGACGATCTATCACGCTATAAAATTTCTTACAACGCCCTGGCCTATTTTTACATAAACAATAATGATTCTTGAGGATTTTTTTTTAAAAATGTTATTTGATCACTGGGTAGGCGGTCACTATTCGACCACTAGATCACTATTCATTATTCCTTATTTTATAATAATAGTAATATATATATATATAATCCATATTTGCATCCAATTTTCATTACCTTTGATTTATTTGAAAAATTATTGATTTATAATTTCAGACAATACTTTATTCCAAACAATTTTTTTTATCGTCGATTATTTTAGTTCCTTTAATATCTATACAAGACACAATACTTTTTAATTGAATAAATTCTAATTCCTCAGAGGTGCAGTATTGCTTATCAGTGTAAGCATACAATTTTTTATAACTAAAAGCAGACTATTTTATAAAGATTTTTATCTCCTTTTATAAATGATGTTTCTGATTCCACTACGTTTTGTTGTTTTTTTCCCCTTCATTCACAATAAATTTTGTACTGAATTATTTCATTATATTTTCAATTTTTAGATATGGAATTTTTTCATTTTTATTTCAATTGATCATTACATCCTGCCTTGTCATGTGTTTCAATATTTATGTTAGCTCTTATTTTAATCATTTCTGTTTCTCAGTTCTTAATTTTAATTGATAAGTTTTCCTTGTACTTTATTTATTTCTTTTTTCCTGATTGTTAGGTACTAAATATATTCTGATTTTAATCATAAAATTTTTTATATTTTGTGATTTTAATAAATCTTTAGCTTAATATAATTAGGTTTTACTTAGTTTAAAATAATTGTCTTAACCTCAATAAAGTCATATTTGTTAGTTTCTTTTTGCCTTGGTTTAGTATTAGTCACTGAAAATAATATTTTTATTAATTTAATGAATTTACCCTCTTAATTTATATATTTCTATCTGTTTACCCAGTTTTTTTCCATTTTAAAATAAAAAATCTTAATGTTTAATCTGCATTCTTTGAGTTTTTCTTTATATTCTTAAAAGCTTGCATGAGGTGATTAAATGCAATTTAATTTTAATTAAATACAGATTATTTGTATTAAACATTTCTTTATTTAGTTTTTTTTTAAAGGATGACTGAGTTGAAGAAAAGCTATTCCATTTTTTAATCTATTATTATTAA